GTTTACAGTATTTTATTAGTAATATTCAGTATAGCAAAATTTTTTTTATATGTATAAATTGATACAATATTAAAGATCTTTTTTATCAAAAAATTTGTTACATAAATATTCATTATATTGAGAACTGAATGTATTATTTTTTTTTTGGTTTAATTTTTTTAATACAACATTTTTATTTTTATTTTTAAGTTTTAAATTTAATAATATTATATATATATATATATATATATTTTATTATTATTTTTAATTATTTTATTATTAATTATATATAATTTAAATTAAATTAATATTTTTTATTAATAGTCTCAATTTTTTTAGTTATATATTTTAATTTTTTTATTATTTTTAAAAATAAAATAAATTTTTTAATATCTGAATTTTAATATTTCTTTTAGATACATTTATTTTTTTTTTAAATTTAAATTTAAAGTAAATTTATTTCTTACTTAGAGTAAGATTTGATATTTCTTATCTCATAATTTATTTTTTTTACTATACAATTAATATTATAAATATTATATCAAAATTAAAGTATAATATAATACTATAATTATAGATTTTTTTTTATAAGTGCGGCAGTCTCACATGATCTTTATTAATATTTATAAATTTACAAAAAAAATAAAATAAAACAGAAAATACAAAAATATCTATAAACTAATCTAGTGAACTAAACTATTTTATCAATATTAACCTTATACTTTACTGAACTAAACTATATATCAGAAAAGAAAAGAAAATTAATCTAAACTAAAATACAGATATCAAACGTCTGAAAGGAAGAATATGATTACTGCCAGACTAGAAATTTGACCAGTAGATATCATAAGCTAATGTCGCTATAAAAAAGGAGGAATTATTTAAAGGTATTTGTGTAGATCGAGAGAAACCTGAGAATACCCAAGCTACAGTGAAATTATCTTTTATGTTATTAGTGATTTTCTATAATTGTAATAATTATCATCTTTCCAACTATATCTTATGAACTGATAATATATATCATCAAATAGGGATGATATAAGATCAAGAGTGAGTTGTTTATTGTTTGTGATATTATTAATTGATGAAATGAGAGATAAAGGGATAATCCCTTTTAATAAGTCTATAAAATATAAATTGTTATTAATTAAGCTGCAATATCATATTGGAGATTGATTCACATATAAAATAGGTGTGTTAATATTAGGTTTGTTGAGTTTTTTTAGTTGAGATATAAGTGATTGTTTGTGCTCATGTATGATGTTGCTGAAAGAAGTTATATTATTAGAACAAATCCAAATATGATTAAAATTTTTAATTGCATTAATATAACAGAAATAGTTATTGAAAGTATAAGTCTGTAGATACTGAGTATTCATGATCATTAAGGTGGAGAATAATTGTAAGATCAATTTAATTTTGAATTGTTTCCTTTTGTATGCATCAAAGGATGTCATTCTAGCATTTTCTAAGTTATTGAGAATATAAAAAAGAGTTTGCTAATTAATGTGATAGTTACTATATTTAGAAAATTAGGGGAAAGTTAAAAATATTCTAGCCTAAGAGGCTTGTTACAAGTGTTTAATAAATAAACAAGGTAGGGTGATAATTGGTATATTGTTATAACATATAAAATATTAAGATCTAGATGATTATTGTTGATGCGCAAAAGAGCACTAAAGATTTGCTTAGCTAAAGTATCTACTTTGTTATTGAATTAATCTGATCTGTAAGCTTTGACTTTTATGAGTATTAATGCAATTTTGTGAGTTGTAATAAGCTGCATTAAGATCATCTAAATATGAAAATATAGAATTTTAAAAGCAGGATTTAGAGAAGGAGATTCCTCATACATTATGATAAATCTTGTGATATGATGTGATTGCAGCTTGTAAATCAGTACAGATTTCAATGTTGGAATTTGGTAATGCAGTATAAGTTGCAGTAAGAATAGCAACAATTTTCGCTAAAGTAGAGAAAGAAGAATATAATATAAGTATTGCATTTAAGGAGATTGGAGGTCAGTTATAATCTGTTTGTAATCACGCTATACCTATCTGATAGTCAGAAGATCCTAAAGATGTGAAAGAACTATTTGTATAAAATTGGAAAAAATTGGCATTAGTAACTTGCAATTTAAGATAATCTAATCTATTGATGGATGTTTGATCAAAGGGAAGAACATCTAAGTTAGGTAGAGGTTTAGTTAGGTATTGATAAGGATTTATCAAGTTAATAAGGTGACTTCACAAAGCATTAGGTGAGAGAGGCTACACTATCACCCTCGTGAGGTTTGTGAAAAACTTTAAATACTGAACAAAATGCTTTAGGTAATTTAATAGCACAAAAACTATGATATTGTTATTGTTTGTAAGGTATAAAAACTGTATAATCAAAAAGATTACATCTAGTATAAGGAGCAATAGGTGTTTAATTACAAACAGATTGATCTGGTAAATAATGTTATATATGTATGACTGTATTGTCAACTTTAACTACTTTGCCTATGATGAATGTCATATACTGATTAGACTAAATGATAATAAAAGTTGGATTGGTTGGTAAGGCGTTAAAATTAGTGGATTGAGCAAATACTTTGATGAGTGATATGTGAGAAGAACAATTATTAGATAAGAGTTTATTCGAGTTATTGATTAAAAGTCATAATTCTAGTTGTTTGAACCATTTAGCACTATGGAATACTGAGTCATAAACCAAATTTAGATCAAAAGCTATAAATAAGTTGATACCATTCATAGTAATGAGTTGATCAATGTATAAAATTGAAAGTAATTGCAGTTTTAATATATTTTGCTGATATACCTTAGGGTGAGAAATTGTAATATTAGGAGTGAGCCTCCATCTAATTGTTTTAAATTATAATCTTTATCTAAACATTATTGAAAGTTAAACCCAATCTACTTAGCAGCTAATAAAAAGTCTAACTACTAATCTTTAAAGGCTTAGTTTCTATATAAGGCCAGTCAGTTAGGAAAACGATGGTAATCATTCCAAAAGTTAAAGTTGTAAAATATGTAATCGTAAAGTCAAACCAAAAAGTGCAATATTATTGATCATCTTTAATATATTAGATAATTTAACTTACATTTGTTTATCGTACAGATGTGCTAAATTGTAGCTGAAAGTAGAGTAGATCACTGAAGCAGATATGAATTTGAAAGCCCTAATTTCTTTTTAAAGAAGGTTCTAAAGGGATGTCATACACTGAACGAGAAATAAATGTAAGTTTTGTCTTGTATAGTATGCGAGAAATGATAATTTTATTAAAGATTGCAACCATGTATTTGGTGGTAAGTTTTTTCTTGCTAAGTACATTCTTTGTCTTGGTAAATTCATCAAAAATTTGTTTGGTAATAAATTATCTATTATTAAACAGAGATACCCAGACTTCTAAATATCTCATGAATTCCTTGTAATATAGTGATAAAAATCAAATATCCTTATCATTGAAGTTAAAGTTAACGGGAGTGAAATCTTTATTATTAATCATGAGAACTAACTTATTCTAATTGACTTGAATGCTGTTAAGTATATAGAAGAAATCTGCTATATTCATGATATTTAGGAGATCAGTTCTGGAATCTGCTAGCTAGAGCGTGTTATCCATATATGCAAGAGCTGGAATTTGATTTAAAAAACTTTATGTATTATGTTTTATAATATCAGCTCTTCAGTAAATATATTACGTATAGCTGTATGCTGAATTTTATACAAAGTATAAGAGAGGGTTGTAGTATATACACTATGAGATAGGAGATATAATTTTACCTTGGTCGATACCTGAGAGGACTAAATAAGTATCAGAATTATCGTATGTGGTAAATACTTAATTAAAATGAAAAAGGAAGATTAAAATCAAAAATTTTATAAATACTTTTAGGATGCGAAGATGGCTGAGAGTTTTAATTAACATAGTAATATTAATATGATCATATGCTTTAACATATCTTGAAATTAGATTCAAAGATTGTTGTAATGAAATGAAATATCATAATTGATGTTATCAAAGATGTGTATTGGTTCAAAAGTGTTTCTGTAAGGCAGACCAGCAAAGTTGTTTCCTTTAAGAATATTATTAGTAGACAAGACATTTAGAAATTGACTATTGATTAGCTTTGTAAGAGCTTTACGTGAGCATTCAAGAAGTGTAATAAGACGTATGTTTGTTAAATTATATTTTCAGAGGTTTGGTTTGGGTATTGGATATACAAAACTAGATTTTATCTACTAAATGCTAAATTGAGTGACAAACATTTACAAATAATGATCCAGAAATATTTTGATATAAAAGGGCCAAGATGTTTTAACATTTCGTTAGATATCTTGAATAGTCTAGAAGCTTTGTCATTAGGAAATGTCTTAATGATATTGTGTCATTCTTCTTTTGAAGGAGTTGCATAATAAAATCATATATGTTGAGATCTATTAATTCATTGGTTTATAAATGTGTTCCTATACCTCTAGGAGTGACAGATTAGAATATTGTGAGTTAACTACTCTTTAAAAGTGTCTTACTATTTTATTTTGAACATCTTTTGGATCTATAAGAAGTTTTTTATCAGGACTATTGTTATTTATACATCTGTTCAGTATGATGATATTATAAAGACATTCTAATAATGAGTCAAACATAGTTTTTTGATCATTAACAAAATTTGTACATCATCATTCAATAGCTTTATTAATAGCTTTTGTTTTAAGTTTAACTTCATTCAGTTTGGCTACTACAGTGTTGGCAATTGGATAATTGGACCAATTGGATATTGGACTTATTGTACTAATACCAATAAGTTCATTTAAACAATTAGACGATTAGATTTGATCCAATTCCAACTGTTATTATTAACCAATTAAAAATAAATTTTAATTAATTATAATTAATTGTGTTATAATAAATTTTACTCATATTATTATTTAAGTGATAATTTATAAATTTTTATTGTTTAAAATTATTTTTTATTTAAAAAATTCCAATACAGCTAAAAAATTGCTATTAATTTTTACCTATAATAATTTGGTAATTCTAAACTTTCTACAAAAATATCTTTTAATTGCCATTTTGCTTGTAAATCAATTGCAGGATGTTGCAATTGTTCAATATTATCAACCGAAATATCATAAGTATCAATTAAATCTGTTATTTCAATATCTTGATCTTGCAATTCACTTTCAATCATTTCTGCCCAATTTGCTATTATATTTCTCCATTCATTAATAGAAGTTATTGATTGTATACGTATATTATTAATAAAATTTGTATCTTCATTATTTCTCTCATTTATCTTATTATTAATATCAGTATCTTTATTATCAGAAAGAAAAAAATTTTCATGATCTATATTTTCTGTATTATCTGATTCAGAAATAGCAAGATTTGCTATAGTTTTTTGATATCGTTGTGCATAAAAATCCAATTCACAAAGCTGTTATTATCATTGCATACTTGCATGAATCTGTGCTAAACTTAATACTTTTTTTGCCTAAAATATTAAAATAAATTTAATATTATATATAATTAATTTAAATTTATAATTAATTTATATATCAATAAACTATACCTTTAATTGATTTCGTCTTTTTGAATGGTACCATCCCATTATTGAAAATAACCTTTCCAATGATGCTATTGATACAGTAATTGAAAAAATTCGTTGAGCAATTTTGTATAATTTCTTTGAATAACCTTTTGTAAAACTCCAATAACCTAAAATATTATTTTTAAATTGTTTAGAAATAGACTCAATATAAGAATATTTTTTGATCAATAATCTTCAAATTCAGATAATAAAACTGTTAGTTCTTCATAAAACTATGCACAATAATAATATAGAACCCATTTTGCTAAGTGAGGAAATGATAAATTTGAAATTGTAGGATTAAATTTTGTATCACAATAAAATGGATGTAATAAAAATACTAATAATAAAAGTAGTTATTCCTAATCTTTCCATCATCATTCAAGTTTTATAAAAAGTGCATTAGCTAATTCTTAATCATCAAATGCTTTAAGTGTCATAACTACATTACTAAATTTATGAAGAACTTCATGTAATCGTGAATTATGTCGTTGAATTTTGTTGAGTGCTGCACAGTATGGAATTAAAAGAGTTTCAATTCTTTTAATTTGACTCTACCAATTATTATCAAGAATACAATTTAAATGTTCATTAGGAAAATCGTAACTATCAGGAATAATAAAATCATCTATTTTAATTGCAAGATTCTAAAAAAAAAAAAAAATATTGTAAATTAAAATTATATATTTAATTTAAATTAATTAAATTAATATAATATTATACATATAAATAAAGCTGCTTTTGTTTTAATAAATTGGAAAAACAATAATAATATGAATTCCATCAGATAGAAGCTGGTATAACTAATGCAATATAAGTTTGATAAGTGGTTGATTGTTCATTTTGTAATCTCCCAAACTATACTTTTGAATGGTTAAAATAAGTGGTTAGATTAATAGCTTTTTCAGCAATATCACTTAAACTTGATGATTCTTTAAATATATTACTAATACATAAATTCATCTGATGGGCAAAACATAATAGAAATAATTTATCATAATATTGAAGACGCAATCGTTTTCTAAAATGTTAGATAAATTTATAATTAATAATTAATAATTAATAAATATAAATTAAAATAATTATATAATTAATTATCTTGCAGTAGCATTTTCTGAAGCTGAATCTGTGATTAATCTATTAACTTTAATTTGTTTCTGTTCAAGTTATTCAAAAGATTTTTTGGTTTCATTCATCACAATATCACCTGTACATCTTTTTCCATTAATATCTTCAATTTTCCAGATAATTATATTATTTTTCGAAGTAAACAAAACAGACCCTAATAAATTTTGACGTGCTACATTCTTCCATCCACCAAAAGCTAACATAACAACAAGATCATCATTAATAGCATCATTAAGAATAGTTTCTGAAATTTTGTTGGTAGTTCTTTCAAGAATTTAACCACTAAGCTGTTTTCGACTTAGCAAACATAACATTGGATTAATTCATTTAAAAAATTCTTTAACCACTGAATTTTCAACCTAACAAAAGAAAACCCGCATGCAACAGTAATATTTAACAATAATTGTTCAAATGTTTTTATTTGTTTAAGTTTTAATTCATAATATACATAATTATTAAGCAGACTAAAACTTTGAGATGATATATTAAATATATCACTTATACTGCTTCTATGTAATGTAATAGATGGTGTTGTATAAAAAAAGTTGTTTAAATTTCGTGACAGAGGTAATTGTGGTAGTGAAGTATGAAAAGTTAATTGAAATGCATTCCTTTCACCTCTTTTGTCTCCTTTAATGTTCTGAATGGTTCAGTTCAGTCTGGATTATAGGTCAATCTGAAACCAAACTGAAAATTTTAGTTCGGTTCAGTTCAGATTAAAAATCTTAAAAATGCCAATCTGAAACTGAACTGAACTGTAAACCGGTAAAAATCTAAACTGAACTGAAAATTTCAAATTAATCTGAAATTTTGGATCATTCGGAATGATAACTTCAATCGTTTTAAATGAACGATAATTTAATCATTCCAATCGAATGATTTTCTTATCATTTATTTAGAATGATATTTTGATCGTTCCAATTGAACGATTCTATTATCGTTCGTTTGAAATGATAATTTGATTGTTCCAATCGAACGATTTTATTATCGTTCATTTAGAATGATATTTTAATCGTTCCAATTGAATGATTCTTGTATCATTCGTTTGGAATGATATTTTGATCATTCTAATTGAACGATTTTCTTATCATTTGATTGAAATGATAATTTCATCATTTCAATCAAACGATTCTATTATCGTTCGTTTGGAATGATATTTTGATCGTTCCAATTGAACGATTTTCTTATCGTTCATTTAGAATGATAATTTGATCATTCCAATTGAACAATTTTCTTATCGTTCGTTTGGAATAATATTTTGATCATTCCAATTGAATGATTTTCTTATCGTTCGATTAGAATGATAATTTGATCGTTCCAATCAAACGATTCTATTATCGTTTATTTAAAACGATATTTTGATTGTTCTAATCGAATGATTCTTCTATCGTTCGTTTGGAACGATATTTTGATCGTTCTAATCGAACAATTTTCTTATCGTTCGTTTGAAATGATAATTTGATCGTTCCAATTGAACAATTTTCTTATCGTTCGTTTAGAACGATAATTTCATCGTTCTAATCAAACGATTCTTTTATCGTTCGTTTGGAATGATAAATTTAATCATTCCAAATGATCTGAAATTTCGAATTAATCCGAAATTTTCAGTTCAGTTCAGATTTTTTTCAGTTCAGATTAGATTTATAATCTGAAAAAAATCTGAACTGAACTGAAA